CAGTCTCCTCCAAGCTACAGAGACCCAGCTCTCTCAGCCTTCCATCATCTTTGTGGCTCTGTGCTGGACTCTTTCAAGCAGTTCCCTGTCCTTCTGGAACTGAGGGGCCCAGAACTGGACACAATATTCCAGATGCGGTCTCACCAGGGCAGAGTAGAGCAGGAGGAGAACCTCTCTCGACCTTCTGACCACAGCCCTTCTAATACACCCCAGGATGCCATTGGCCTTCTTGGCCACAAGGACACATTGCTGGCTCATGGTCACCCTGCTGTCCACCAGGACCCCCAGGTCCCTTTCCCCTACTCTACTCTCTAATTTCTTAATCTTCTTTACGTGAAAGTTTCTATAAGAGTAAGAGTCAGCTCTCCTGCTGCATAGCAAGCCTGTCTTTGGGATTCGCTTCAAATATGTCCCATGGGGGGACCATGTGCTGTGTATTGTCTGCAGTTCCTCTTTCCCCTGAGAGCACTATTGAAAGTGAAATACAGGCAGCCAAGACTGTCTTAAATATCCTGGCATGGCCAATACAGCTTAGGTGATAGGATCGTACTTCCTCCTGCAGAGAGACAGCAGACATGCTGTAGGGCCCCAACTGCAAGGACATTGCTGTGGTTGGCCTGTTGCTGCTCTTAGAGTCCTGACACAGTGCTCTCAGCAGGATTCCAGGATTATTCAAAGGTATGTTTTGTCCTTGCCAATAAAAAAATACATTCTTATGAAGAGCGGAAAAGAATTAATTTGGTGTACAAGTGCAGCTAAATGATTTAGGTTCCTGGCATGGCATATTGAGGAATCTTGATACTGGAGGATTCCTGAAAGAGCCTTGTAACATAATCGTAGAATATGCATTGGGAATAAGGGGCTTTCTCTTAATTTGTAAAAGGTTCATTTAGCTGCAACAACTGTTTTTATACTTAGACTCTGAGGGGTTTTCAGATTTGCTACAGTCATCTGCAACATGCTGTCTTAGGGGTTTTCATGTGTTTGTCCACTAATTATGGATATAATCTTGCAGTGGACTCTATAGCTGATTTAATAACCTTAACTGGAAGTCCCTTGCAGCTAATGATCCTTCTTTACCTTCTAACCAAACAGCATTCCTAGGTACTTAATGAATTGCAGATGTCTGATTAATGTAGGAAGGATCAATTCTAATAGACTTTTCTAGAATGAGATTTTGGGTTTGGGATGTGTTTTTTATGCCTGTGGTGACTGCAAATTTTGACCAACTCAGGATTGATTATATTTCATCATAATAACTTTCCTAAGTTGATTTTTCTCTCAAATCATGGAATTCAGGAGCGGAGAAAAGACTAAAGACACTGTGTCTTGTCTCTCTATATGGACAGGACATGTCCCTTTCAGAAGACTTCCTAGCTCTCCATCTCTACTGCAGTCATACTCCTGACTCTGTAATGACCTGATGTCATATAGCAAAGGCAAAGCTACAAAATATTGTTCTACAAAGGCACAAATATCTCTGAGCCTCTCTAAAATCTCTGGAAATTTTTCCTTTGCTGAAGTCTATCAGATGGAAAGGACAGTACTCAAGGAAAGAGATATGTCTGTTATGAGAGCAGTTCTTGGCATCACCCACAGTGGCAATCCACAAAGGAAGGTTATTTATCAGAAACTGAAGATTTTTCAATACATGCTTTTGATATGTGCATTCATTAACCTGCTCAGTTTCCAGCTGAGAGTTCTTGTGGCACTTGGACTATGTTTTGACCAAAGAAAGACATAAATCCTAATGCTAGGGATGTACCACATGTGTGATATGTAGAGGAGGCAGAGTGTAGCTTTACCTGAACATGTACAAAGGCTAAAGAAATGCTGGCTTGTGTGTTGACTGCATATACACACCTACAGTGTTACTGTGCATGTAGGCAGCAGGCGGTGAGGAGGAAGACCAAGTGCCAAGACAAACACAAATCTTGCCTAGGAGAGTAGACAGCTGTTAGACAGCTATTAGAATAGCTGTGGAGAAAGATGTTTGCTCTTTAAAATTACCTTAAGACAGTAAGTGGGTTTGGTACAGCTTGCGTATGTTTGGGTTCCTTCTGAACTCTGTGAATGAGGTGTGCAGCAACAAGGATATGTGACCTTCCTTGTTGTAAACACCAGCAACTCACAGCAAGGGACCAAACATCATCCTGCATCATCGTGCTGAATGAACAGCATCATTTGGTGAGTGGCAGAAAGCAAGTCATGAATGTGAGAGACAAGGGGGTCTTCAAAAAGACGGTTAAAAAGGAAGAGGTAAGCACGTGGCTCAGGCAGTGACATCTGCATGACTAGTCAAGAAGTGGGCTTGACCCATTACATACTTCGGTGTTTCAGTCATCTTCATGTCTTCACTCTGAGAGACATCACTAAGCCTGAAGATGCCTTCACTGCAGCCTCATGCTTAATGTCACCGCTTCCAGAGAATCCTCATTTACCAAAGTACCTTCTCATGTTTTCCAAAGCAGAGATGGTGTTTCAGATTGTTTTGCATCACCTTAAATGAAATATTTTTTCCCTTCAGGTTTTGCGTTTTCCCTGTCTGTTTCTCATTTGTTCCCTTCAGCTGGGATGTAAGTCATGATAGAGAACTTCGTTCTGCATAAGTTATAGCCTTCCCCTTTTCATTCTTATCTGCAGGCGGCGAATATTAGCTAAGAAATGTTGAATCAACACATAGCCCCAAAACAATATCACAGTCTAGCCCAAAATTATGTATTTATTTTTTCTCAGTTCAGATCTGTGGGTAGACAATTATTTTCCTTACAGTTTGAGCTAATACCTTCTATATTAAATTGAAGATTGATTTCTGTCAGTAAAGCATCTGAGTTAGTTACCCTGTCTAAAATAAATTTTTGAGAGGAAAATACATGTATATTTTTCTGTATATGTCTGTGTATGCATGTGTTTTAAGTATCTTTAAAATGTGAAATATCATACCTGTGCTAAAATGAGGGCTATTTGGTGACAGGCTGTTGTTCCTCTGAAGCCTTCGAGCTGAGCGTTTTCCTGGCCATTGAATTGAGAGCACTTCCGGTTTTGTTGGGTCTTGTCTGTACAGAAACACAGGAGACTTCATAATGTAAAACATGAGGGAGAGCTCTCCTCTCTCTGTTCTCAAAAATGTGCTTGTATGTTCCCTTTTGAATTAAAAAAGGAGAAATGCCTATAGAGACCACTGAATTATTTTCCAGATTTTCACTATTACCAATTAATTGTGTTTAGGTTTCTAGTCATTAAAGACTAAAAAAAAAAAAAAAAAAAAAAAGAAAGGAAGGTTAAGCGGCATAAACCTGTCTTTCAGGGATAGAAAGCTTGAGGTCAATGTCTGTCCTTGATGTGGTTCTGACCTGACCTAAGGAACGATTCATACCATTTCTTCATTCACAGGAGTTTTTGTAGCATCTTTGCAGAGGAACCGGGGTCACAAGAACAGCTAAAAGTGAGATATGAACTTTAAATATTGACCCCTTCAGGTTAAAGATTGAAAAGATAGACAGCAATGTGTATCTGTTAATAAGGAAGGAAAACTGATGAGAATTAGCTAATATTGGATGGAGGACAGATACATATCTGGGACCAGTATTGAAACATAGCAGATACAGAAATGACTTATGTTTGTACTGCAACGACAGAGTCATTGAAGAGTACTGAAGGCTGTCTGTACATGGTTCTTCTTCATCATCCAGCTGGAAAGCAGCGAAGGACCAGGACTATGGTTAGTTTCGCAACAGTTATTTGGATGAGTGGTTGCAAAGAATATAAGACAGTAGCCTAAACGGTTCAGTAGATAATTCCCAAGTCACTGCTTTGGAAAGCTCTCTTGTTTCCTGAAGCACAGAATGAAGACTCACCAAAAGCTCACACACTATGTTAAGGCGATGTTTTAGGATGGTATTTTCTGCAGCATAAAATCCCTTCACAGTAAGCCAAATTATGGCAGTTCCCCAGTGTAAGCACTCTTAAATCAGTTTAGGAGTGTCTTAATGGAATTTTGATTCAGACAGTTTGCCCCTGAATTAAGTTAAACATAATTGAAGATGATTTTACATAGGGACTGGCGCATCTGCACTAGGAACAAACTCATTTTCACCAAAGTAGCTGTATTTAATGTGCTGAGTTTGCCTGGCTTTTCCTTTGCTACCTCAGAAAATGGGGAAGATGATATTTGGCTTAACAGTGTCACACGTCTTTCTCATTTTCTTTGCCATAAACCAAATTCACCATCCAAGAGTATGTTTCTGAACTGTACTGATAAAACTGGAGAAAGAAGTCTCCACAATGCCCTACCAGACAGTCAATGCAGAAAAGAAAGCTGGCCGGAGAAGGGATGATCGTATCACCCAATTCTGCACACCCAAGTGAGTAGTTTGTGTTACTCAGATGGTCTTTGTAGACTCATTTCTAGAAAGGCTGTCCTAAAACACAAGTCAGAGAAGTCAATGATTACTCCAGAGGATGTAAGAGCATCTAAGTTAAGACTCCAGCTCTGAACTGGCCATTCAAGACTTCTTTCTCTTCCACCAGTTGTGTGGGGAACCCAGAAAGACATATGCTTGAATGGAGGGTTATATATACTAGGCATACTCAGTGCACCTTCAGCCTTTCAAATCCTGCTTGGTTCCCGCAGTCAAGGTACTGGCACAAAATCCCGGTATATTATTCATGTACTTCAGAGCTCTCAAAACTAACAGCAAAAAAAAACCCCAAGAAAATGACATTTCCAAAAGAAAGAATGAAAAAGCAATGCATTTTAAAACATGTGAAGTGTTGAGATCTTCTTTCTCCGTGAAACACAACAGCTTGTATTTTGCTTTCCCTATTATCTTTAACAATAGCATACTGAGGAAAACAAATCTATAAAACTAAGTACCTTTTAAAAAATGTTTTGATCCTTAATTCTACAAACCCTCATCTATGAGGTCATGGTATTAAATTCAGCTAAACCCCTTGGACGGATATAGGTTACCCAGGTGATTGAGAGTTTATAGAGTTAGATGTTAACCAATACTATGGCCTATGTTCTAGGAAGAAGCTGTAACAAGCAAGAGCCTGGCTATTTCTCCTCTTAACATTGGGATCATCATGCAACCAGGAATGAAAAAAAATCATAAAGCTGGAGGAAACAAGCAAGGAGACAGTCAATCATCTTAGTAATTTCAGAGCTCTTCACATTGCAGTGGTGTGTTTTGTGCATTTGATATTAAATAGTCAATAGATTTAAAAATCAGTAAAAGGAGCAGAGCCTGGGATGTAACAAAATGTTCCTCCTACATGCAGCCCACCACAGGATCAGATTGGAATGTGCCTGTATTAAATTTCTGGAAAAATCCTAATGATTAGTTCCTATATGGAATAAAAAGTGTATCCTTATTTCTCCTGTTATTC